GAGTTCCTGCTTTCCCTGGATATGGATTTCTGACCCTGGGAGGCTCCTGTGTTCCCTGGACAGGGATTCTGGACCCCAGGGAGCTCCTGCTTTCCCTGGATTTCTGACCTGGAAAGCTCCCACTTTCCCTGGATATGAGTTTCCAAACTCAAGGAGCTTCTGCTTTCCCTGCATAGGGATTTCTGACCTGGAGAAGCTCCTGTATTCCCTGCATAGGGATTTCTGACCTGGAAAAGCTCCTGATTTCTCATAGATTTCTGACCTGGGAAGCTCCTGCTTTCCCTAGGTGTGGATTTCCAACCCCAGGAAGCTCCTGCTTCCTTTGGATAGGGATTTCTGACCTGGAAAGCTCCTGATTTCTCATGGATTTCTGACCTGGGAAGCTCCCACGTTTCCTGCATAGGGATTTCTGACCCCAAGCAGCTCCCACTTTCCCTGGATATGGGTTTCTGACCTGGAGAAACTACTGATTTCTCAAGGATTTCCAACCTCAGGAAGCTCCTGCTTTCCCTGCATAGGGATGTCTGACCCTGGGAAGCTTCTGCTTTCCCTGGATATGAATTTATGGCTCCAAGGAGCTCCCACATTTGCTGAATAAAGATTTCTGATCGGGAAAGTTCCCCCTTTCCCTAGATATGGGTTTCTGACCCTGGGAAGCTTGTGTTTTCCATGGATAGGGATTTCTGGCCCCAAAAAGCTCCTGCTTTCTTTGTATAGGGATTTCTGACCTGGGAGCTCCCATTTCCCACGGATAGAGATTTCTGACCTAGAGGTACTCCAGCTTTCCCTGGATGTGGATTTCCTACCCTGAGGAGTTCCTATTTCCTCTGGGTAGGGATTTCTGACCTGGAGAAGCTCCTGTGTTCCCTGGACAAGGATTCTCAACCCCAAAGGAGCTCTTGCTTTCTCTGGATAGGCATTTCTGACCTGGAAAGCTCCTGATTTCTCATGGACTTCTAACTCTGGGAAGCTCCCACTTTCCCTGGACAGGGATTTATGACCCCAGTTAGCTCCTGCTTTCCCTGGATAGGGATCTGAAGCTCCCGTGGATGTGGAAGAAGCTTCCCAGGTGCCAATTCCCCTAAGGGAGACATGGATCCTCTACCCAGAGCCCCTCAAGAGGTTTTGCCTTAAGGCCATTCCCCACTAAATCCCTGGGAAAGGGATCAGCACCAGGGTATTCCCCAAAACATCCTTCCTGGGGGATTCTGGGGGCTCATCCCAACACTGGATCCCTCTCTTCTCCCAGGAAAGCTGCTCCACACCTCCTCTCTGCTCTTCCCTCTGCCAGGAACAGCCTCTGTTCAGCTTCCCTTGGATTCATTCCCATGAGGAATTAGGAGGCTGAGCCTGGAGGAGCTCAGGAGTTGGGCAGGGAATTCCTTCAGAAGCAATTTGGGTGGAAAAATCCCTCCTGAGGGGGGTTTGTACCCTCCTAAGCACTTCCAGAACCTCTGAGGCAGACAAGATCCTCCCTGGGAGCAAGTGCTCAGCTTCCATCATGGATCCAGGGCAGGAATTTCAGGATCAGAACTTGAAATCTCATTGAAGGGAATCAGAGAAAGGCAGAGCAGCTCCAGCCCAGGTTGGAGCATTCCTAAAAATCCAACTGCAATGAGAAAATATCATTTTCCTATGGTTTTCCCATGGTTTTTCATGACCTTTCCACTAGCAGAGTGCAAGCACACCCAGGAATGAGCTTCTGGAGCAGAGGGAATGCTGGAATCCAGGACAATCCTAAGGGCCACATGTCTCAGGGAGCCAAAAACTGCCCAAAAAGTGGGATTAAAGGATACAAAGTGGTAAAAAAACCCCAGGGAATAGGGAAAAAACAGGTACTTGGAGTGTGAAGCAGATTCCAGCACGGATTCCAGCCGCTCCCACACGGCTCCAGGCCAGCCAGGGATGTCTCTCCTGGCCCTGGCATTGTCCCACAGGGAAAATGTCTCTCTCCAAGCTTGTCCTGAAGGTCAGTACTTCACTCCAGGCACAAATTCCTTGGCATCAGGATTCAAGTTGCTTTTGCTCTAGAAGAGAAGAGAGAAAAGGGTTCAGGAGTGAGGCAAATGTTGGGATAACCCAGCAAGGAGCATCCCAAAGGTGCTCCATCCTGCCATCCCAAGGGTCTTCCAGCCCTGATGCTCCATCCTTGGGATGCCAGGATGAAGCACCCAAGGATCTCCCAGCCCTGGTGCTCCATCCTGGCATCCCAAGGACCCCCCAGTCCGGGAGGAATTCATTCCCAATATCCCATCTATCTCCATGCTCTGGCAGAGTGAAGTCATTCCTCCTTGTCCTGTCCCTCCAATCCTTGTCCCAAGTCCCTCTGCAGCTCTCTTGGAGCCCCTTTAGGCACTGGAAGGGGCTCTAATGTCTCCCTGGAGTTTCTCTTCTCCAGGCTGGACATTCCCAGCTCTCCCAGCCTGGAGAGAAGCTCCAGAACCATGGAATCACAGATGGTTTGGGTTGGAAAGACCTTAAATCTCACCCAGCCTCACCCAGGGACACCTTCCCCCAGCCCAGGTGGCTCCAAGCCCCATCCAACCTGTCCCAAGACACTCCCAGGGATGGGACATGTCCCTCAGGGCCCTCACCAGGATGTCCTCAGAGCTGTGGGTGTCTCCCACCGAGAGCCCATGGAGCTGCTGCTGGAGCTGTCCCATCCCCTGGGGCAGGTCACGGGAGGGAATGAACCAATCCTGGTCCTCCTCCTCCAGCATCTCCTGGAAGCAGCGGTCGAGGAATTCCTGTTCCTGCAGCTCCTCCTCCACCTGCACAAAGACGTGGTTAGTCATGGGAATGACATCCTGGTGTCCTCCCTGTCCTCCAGCCACATGTCCCTATGGACATATGGAGCCAGGAACCATCCCCAGGCCTCACCTGCCTGTTCTCCATCCACTTGTCCCTATGGACACACAGAGCCAGGAACCATCCCCAGGCCTCACCTGCCTGTTGAAGTCCTCCTCGTTCTCCATCCACATGTACTCAGCAAAGGGATTGTTCTCCTTCTCATCGTGCCCATTCACCCCCTGATCCTCCTTGGAGTTGGGACTGGAAGCTGTGGTGCTGCTCAGCTCAGAGCCATTCATCATGATGGACTCTGGAAGAAAAAAAATCTGGGAATGTGGGACCTCCTGGGGCCTCCCATGGTCCCAAATACATGGTAGATCCCAGAGGACACTTGCCACCAGCAACACTCAGCCTTCCAGTGGAGGAATGGTTGGAATGATCATACTGGAGGTGTTTTCCAACCAGAAGCATTCTATAATTCAAGGAATTTAAGATCCTGCTGCTTCCAGGCTATGTTTTTCCATGAAATTCCCAACTCTTCTTCTTGGAAGCAGCACTACAACCCCCTGGAAGTGGCATCCTTTATTTTCTGGGATTCTGAGCCATCAGGAATAGTTTGGACATGTTTCTCTGGGACTAGAGCCAGGGGTGATCCAACCAGCATCTCCTGGAGAAGCCCCTAAAGGGCTCCAAGAGATCTGGAGAGGGACTTGGGACAAGGCACAGAAGGACAGGACACAGGGAATGGCTTCACACTGGAAAAGGGGAGATATGGGTGGGATATTGGAAAAGAATTCCTGGCTGTGAGAGTGGTGAGGCACTGGCACAGGTTGGGAAGAAGGAAATACAGGAGAAGGGAACAGGAGAAGAGACAGGAGAAGAAAGAGGAGAAGGAACAGATAAGAAGGGAACAAGGAGAAGGGAATAAGGAGAAGGAACAGGAGAAGAAAAACAAGAGAAGGAAAACAGGAGAAGGGAATAGAGGAGAAGGGAATACAGGAGGAGCACAGGAGAAGGGAACAGGAAACAGAACAGTAAAAGGAGCAGAAGAGAAGGGAATACAGGAGAAGGGAATAAGGAGAAGGAGCACAGGAGAAGGAAGAGGAGAAGGAGCCCAGGAGCAGGGAATAGGACCAGGACCAGGGCTGTGCCTTGGCTCAGGGCAGGCCCAGCTGGTGCTGCTCTCCCTCCTGCAGCCAAGGCCTGTGCTGAGCAGCATTCCCGGGATCGCTGCCGGAGGGACCATCGGGACACAGCTCCTGTGCTATAAATAGCTCTGGGAATCATTGTGTCGGCACACAGCCTGTGGAGCAGCAGGAAAACCCTCCCAGCAGCTCAGACCTGGGAAAAACAAACCTCCAAGGCCTTCTCTGAGTGTTTTCATGGCTCCTCTCCTTCTCAACTGCCCCTGGGGGCGTTCCAGGCCAGGTTGGACGGGATTTAAGATCCTTCCAACCTAACCTATTCCATGGTTCTGGAGCACCTCTGCTCTGGAGCCATCCTTCTCAACCTGGGGGCGTTCCAGGCCAGGTTGGACGGGATTTAAGATCCTTCCAACCTAACCTATTCCATGGTTCTGGAGCACCTCTGCTCTGGAGCCAGGCTGGGAGAGCTGGGAATGTCCAGCCTGGAGAAGGGAAGCTCCAGGGAGACTTCAGAGCCCCTTCCAATGCCTGAACTGCTCCAAGAGAGCTGCAGAGGGACTTGGGACAAGGAGAGGGACAGGACACAGGGAATAGCTTCCCACTGGAAAAGAGGTGGTTTTGGTGGGATATTGGGAAGGAATTCCTGGGTGTGAGGGTGGTGAGGCACTGGTACAGGTATTCCCAGAGCAGCTGTGGATCCTGGAGAGCCTCAGGACTGTGTGAGCTGTCAGGATCAGGACATGTCCTGTCTGAGCCTGGAAGTAGTTCCAGGAGGAGTTTCTTTGGGCTGAGATTCCTGAGAATTCCCTGGAGTGTGCTCAGGAGCAGTATCAGATGTGTCTGGGAGGATCCATAGGATCTGTGCCTCAGCCAAGGATTGTGGTGGATGTGGATGGAAATAGTGCAGGAAGGGATTATCCCTCAGATATGGGAGGGAACTAGGCCACAGCTCCTCCACAACCGGGAGGACTGGGAATGCGAACTCCAGGTCTGCCAGCAGGGAATGTCACCCCCAGGAACCCAGCAAGCTCCAAAAGGGAATACCAGGAGCATCCAAACTATCCTGGGACACTCCATGTCCCCTCACTGAGCCAGCAGGGAGTGACTTCCCAGCTCGGCTCCAGCCTTAGAGCAGGGAATACACCTCAGGAATGACCCTGCAGCACCAGGATAATGGGAAGGAGAAGCATGGAGGGGGGTAAATAGCCTTGGAAGAGTCGGGGTGGGGGAGGAGTGCAGACTGGGCTTGAGGTGTGGTGGAACAGCTGCTCCCAGTGAGTTCATTCCCAGGGAGATCCAGCTGGGAGCAGGGAATGTTGCCAGGCCTGTGGAGCAGCTGGAAAAATCCACAGAGCTGGAGGGAAAAAGGGGTAAGGAGTGGAGTTTGGGCCTGTGAAGCACAAAGAGCTTATCTGGGAAGGGGATGAGAGCCAGGGAGTGATGAGCTCATGGAAAGAAGAAGGAATTCCTGGAAGGACTCAGAGCCTTGGGAGTGAGGCTGGACATGATGGGCCTGTGAGAAAACAATCCCTTGGGAAATGAGGCTGATGAGGTGCTTTTCCCTAATTGCTGCTCTGGAGGAGTTGAGAGGTGGCCTGCAAAATGTCCATCCCTGTCCTCCTCTCCAAGAAATCATGGAGTTTAAGTGGGAAGGACCTTAAATCCCATCTAATCCCACTCCTGCCATGGGCAGGGACACCTCCCACCAGTCCAAGTGGCTCCAAGCCCCATTCAAGCTGGCCTGGAACACTTCCACAGATGCAGCAGCCCCAGCTGCTCTGGGAATCCCATCCCAGCCCCTCACCAGCTTCACAGCCAGGAATTCCTTCCCAATATCCATCTAAATCTCCCCTTTTCCAGTGGGAAGCCATTCCCTGTGTCCTGTCACTCCATGCCTTGTCCCTCTTCAGCTGTCCTGGAGCCCCTTTAGGCACTGGAAGGGACTCTAAGGTCTCCCTGGAACTTCTCTCCTCCAGGTTGGACATTCCCAGCTCTCCCAGCCTGGCTCCAGAAGTTCTCCAGCCCTTGGAACATCTCCATGGCCTCCTTTGGACTCTGTCCAGCAGTTCCACATTGCAGGAAGGGTTAACCATAAGAATTCCTTCCCAACATCTACCTAAATCTCTCCTTTTCCAGGGTGAAGCCATTCCCTGCCGCTCCAGGCCACAGTTGTGGAATGACCCGTGGGAGAGGGAAGCAGGATTATCCCTTTTTCCATGGCTCAGCCTGTGTTTTCCCCGTGCAGGATGATCCCAGACCCTCAGGGTCATCCCTGGTGACATCCTGGGACTGTGACCCTCGGAGCTGTCATCGCTCCTGCTGTGGCTCCAGTGATAATTCCAGCCCTTCCCGGGCTGTCAGCGCCCAAATCCATGGAGCTAACAGGCGGCTGCCAGCCGGGACTCCCTGTCCCAGACCCTTCCCGCGGTGACAGGAACATTCCTGGGATTTGGGTGGGGTGACAGCCCTGGAGATGTGATCCCATTGCCACGGCTGAGGCAGGGAGAGGGTGCCAATTGTCCAGGTGGGAAAAGACCTCCAGGATCATCAATCCAAGCTCTGACCTTGCCATGCTTTTCTTCCCACTTCCCATCCCTTCCCAGCGGGAACGTGTCGGTGCCCAGGTGTTAGCACACCCCGAGGGGCCGCAGAGGTCTGTCCGTGTGTGATGGAGCTGCTCCCGCGTATCCCTGGCACAGGGAGCAGTATTCCGCCCTGGCTCTGGCTCCTCCCGGGGCTCCCTGCCCGCGCCCAGGCTGGGAATGCTGTCCCTGCTCCCGGGACGGCTGTAGGAGGAGCTCAGCTCCCTTAGAGAAGGCTGGGAGAGAGCTGGAGAAGGATTTTCCAAGGGTTTGGAGGAACAGGACAAGAGAGAATGGCTTCACCCTGGAAAAGGGGAGATTTAGACGGGATATTTGGAAGGAATTCCTCCCCGTGAGGGTGGTGAGGGGCCAGAATGGAGTTCCCAGAGCAGCTGTGGCTGCTCCATCCCTGGAAGTGTTCCAGGACAGGTTGGATGGGGCTTGGAGCCACCTGGGCTGGGGGACGGTGTCTCTGGGAGGAACAGGATGGGAGTTAAGGTCTTCTGCAACACAAACCATTCCATGATTCCATGAAACACCTGGAAGTCACTCAGCTCCTCTATCCCATTCCTGGACACTCTTCCCTGCCCAGGGCTGGAGTCTCCTGCCTGACTCCATCCTGCAGGGACAGATAGATGTCTCTCTCCCACCCCTCCCTGACTCTTCCCTTCCTAGCCTGGAAAAGTGCCATTCCCTCATCTCATCTCCAGGAGAAATCCAGATGGGAAAATCCCCTGAATTCCCCACACATGAAATTTCCAGGACAACACTAACATACACCTTCTCCTTGAGCTTTAAGCCTCAAACACACCCAACCGAGCCTTCCTCAGCCCTTCCTGCCTCTTCCCTGGCCTGGGATCCCCCAGGGATGTGGATCCCAACCTGCTGCACTTCAAAGGGACATGGAATACCACACCACATCCATCCCCTCATACACAGGTCATCCCAGCTGGACATGACAATACTGCACAGGGATCAAACCTGAGCCAGCACAGACCAAACCATCCCACAGGCACATTCCAGGTGCCATATGGAGCCTCCCAAGCCCTGGCCCAGCCCCTGAAACTGTTGGGATCATGGGGCTGGAGCAGGGACAGGAGGGAGAAGCTGATGTCTCCCTGTCCCATGTGTCTGGAGGCTATTTTGAGGAGCCCTGGGGCACTTTGGAGAGCTCTGGGCGTGGTTTAGGGGAACCCTGGGGCTATTTAGGGGGTCCTGGGGAGCTGTTTTGGGGAGCCCAAGGGCTGTTTGGGGAGCCCTGGGGGCTACCTGTGTGCCCCTATGTCCCCCCCAGTACCTCCCCCAGGCCAATGCCCTCCGTGTGCCTTCTCCACGTCCCTCAGCGTGTGTCCCCATGTACCCTCACACCTGGGGTTGGTGTTCCCCATATCCCCCCATGTCCCACCCTTTCCCTCCCCATACCTGGGGTCGCTGCCTCCCCACGTTCCCTCATCTCCCCTCCAT